AGTATCTAGAATTTTATGATTAGACTTTTTTCAAAATTATGGTGTTTTGGAATAAAGTTTAAATGAAGCACCCTGTCGAACGTATTGCTTTATCTTCTTTCTGAAGATTGAGCTGCTTTATTCAATCTACTGGAGTTGCCAGGTGACTCAACAGCTACGGATTTAGGATACGCACTCTGTTGCAGACAATGGAGAGTGAAAACACGATAATTGTGTCACTTACATAGTTTCTTCGTTAATTTAATTCAACTAATTTCCCTGAAGAAGTTCGGACTAGATTGCCGAACTAAATGTTGGAATTACTCATTTCAGTCTCTCTGAGATTTTACAAATATAATTTTATTACAAATTTCTGCTCCTCACTCGGTGCCCAAATATTTTAGAACTATTCTGTTAAATCTTGACTACAGTTCATTTGAAGTAGAAGTATTTCAGATGTAACTGTTGTGTAGTGGACTGTCTAGCGAGCTCAATAACTTAGCAAGTATGCGAATAAAAATCCAAGTCAATGAGATGTTAGTGTAACAGTACATTATAAAAAAATATAGAATTGAGTTATATTCATTAAACGGTTACTTGAATATACAGTTAAAGTCCACGGCTACAAATTAATAATATAATCCACAGAATCGTTCACTACTGGAATCGTGTCTACTGTTAGAAGCTGTGTACCGGTTGTAGAAGGTTCATGCAATAAATCCAAAGTATACAACACGGCTATAAGTGAAGCAAGTAGACAGTATAGACCAGTGAGAAGACAAAGAGACCAACAGTACACTGTATTTCAGATTGTACTCGGAAGTTATCTGTATTTCACCATGAATCGTTTTAAACAAAAATCATGCACAATGTGTCTAATTTCAACATCCAAAAAAATAGTGTACAATCATACTGTTACGTACTCCACAGTTGTACTCCATCATAACATTGTTTACAGCTTAGATAGAGACGAGCAGAATGTTCGATATGCATTTTTAGATTACACTGCTACTTCTGATTCTATTTCTAAGAGACTTTTGCTAAGCACACTGAATTCAACACTCAATGAGCCCTAACTCATTAGGTGGTTGTCTTCTTATTTTTCGGGTAGGAAACACGACATTGTTCTTAATCGTAAGCGGTCGACTTCTTTGCTTACAGAAGCTGATGTGCCTTAAGATGCAATGTAGTTTCTTCTTTTCCTCTTTTCTTACTTTTTGCATGACTTAATGTATTTTCGAAAAAATAATTTCATTAAATATGATGGTGATCTGATAGTTTCTATTCCAGTTGTTTCTGCATTAGATTGTTCTCATATGAATAGCTTCATATTTTAGGTTAACCTACAGTCCTAATCGAATTTCAGATTTTCCAGTCGATTGATTGGACCGAAGTGCTTGGTCTCAGGTTGACATGTTAGCCTCTTGTGCAGATGCTTCGACAGAGACCTAGCACTTCGGTTCAATCAATCGACGGGAAAATCTAAAATTCAATTAAATGAATATGACCCGTTGCACGATAGGTGACTCTCGTGGTCCAAGTGGTCTAGTGGACAACACTTTGGCGTTTGAAACCATGGGTACTCGGTTCGAGCCTTGGTGGGGACATCATTTTTCATTGAGAAATGCAGGTACATCCAGATGAAGAGTCCAAAATAGGACGAAGTGCGCATCCTGGATTCCACTGCTAGTCACAATCCACCAATTATCCTACGGTCTTCTTCAAATGGTCTTTAACTGAACCTCTCTAAATGTCAGACTGTTAATTTTTGTTTCAGGCGTGAACAAGACTTGCATAGTCTGATTTACTCGCATAATTCTTCTAATGTCGAAGGTAGGAAATAAATCGATTATAATCTGTCTTGATACCTGTTCCTCATCCAATCTTTGTTGGTCATCTCATATCTTGTTGATATTCAAGAAAATTTTTCATTTGACCTAATAAACAAGGAAGCTGAGACTTTCTGGCATAAACCAGACCTATTCTCTCAGAATTTATTAGTCCGTGTATATCCTACTCATTGTTCTACCTAATCCCCCTCCTCCATAGGCTTCTCAAAACGGACTATGTTACATTAAGCAAGCATTTGAAGGTTGTAAGCTGGGTTAGTGTTAATGTTCTTCTGATCCCAATAAGTGCTACTGTTTTTGATTGGGATTTTAATTCCTGCAAGCAGTCAGCTAAAGTTAACATGTTGCATACTGTACATCCGCTTTATTAGGAACACAATATTCAGCGAACAGACTCTCTCCAACAACGAATTTATTATCAAGCTGTACAATCGTATATATATATATGGTTTTTAAGAAATTATATTCGGTGAGGGAATCAGATCAAAGTTGTGAATACATGAAATAATAATAGTAGTATGAAATGCAATTAAAACTGAAATGCTTGTAATTATAATCATGGTTTTATGTCAAGTGGCAAAATAATGAATGTCATACATAGAATAATACATAAGAAGTATAGATTTTGGAAAGGTGTACATAATTATAAGATTAGTAGACGAATATAAAATGTTACATAATATGGTGTGAAATTTGGTAAGATGGAATTCAATATTGTAAAAATAAAAAATATACAAATTAATAATTTTGGGTTTCAAATGACAAGTGGGTCAAGTGGAAGAAATTCAGAGTGAGAATAGTAATAATAATAATGATATTAATAATAAAAATAATCGTAGTAACAAGGGAAAGGTACATAGAATAATTAAATAAAACAAAATAAATAAATGTCTATCCCTTTACGGCCAAGGTAGAAGTAGGGATTGCACGTACTTCTTTTGTACACAAAGGTTTGGCTTAAAGTCATGAATTGCCAAGGCCTCAGCTGTCTTTAGAAGTCTGTAACGAAGAAAACGCGGGAAGTTAGCATGGATTCTGCATATGATCTTGAAATCATGGTCAGGGTTGACAGAGTGACAGAAGTTGATCAGGTGCTCCAGAATAGAGCTTCGCACACACTTCCTTTCTCCATGCTAGAATATGTTCTCGTATCTGTGTGGAAAGCGTCCTCTGACTACGGCCAATGTACCCAGCCCCACAACAGCAGGTGAACTGGTAGATGCACATGGAGGCGGCCAGACGAGGGAGCTTATCTTTTACAGAGATGGAGAACAACTTGCAGCCCGTGAACGTCATTTGTAATTTTGCTGCAAAGGACGTCTTACTGACTGATTTAGAGAGACGATTTTTGAGCATATCTGAAGCTTGATCACCTTTGAATTCCAAGTTCATGAATAAGGTTTTCTTTGGAACTGAGTCTGTGACCAGTTTAGACTGCTTATCTTTCATGTTGCTGTCAATAAATCGGTTAGGGTAACCACTTTCTGCCAGTGTGGCTTTTAAGAAGTCAAGTTCTGAGTCAATGCAATCAGAACCACAAATTTTTCTCATCCTAAAGCAGAGTGAATGAATTAGGCTCCTTTTGCTGGAGATAGGCACCCAACTGTAAAAGTTAGTTAGTTTTCTGTTCCATGTACTTTTCCGGTGGATAGATATTTTGAGAAATCTGTCATTACGTCTGCTAAGGCACACATCAAGAAACGGAATACTTAGTTTGGATTCCTTTTCCTAGGGTGAATTGTAAAGAAGGATGGCAGTTGTTGAAAGCAAACAAGACATCCTCAAGAGTTACCTTATTATCGCAGATGACGAAAGTGTCGTCTACGTATCTTTTATAAATGTCAAAATTATTTTGCCACTTGACATAAAACCATGATTATAATTACAAGCATTTCAGTTTTAATTGCATTTCATACTACTATTATTATTTCATGTATTCACAACTTTGATCTGATTCCCTCACCGAATATAATTTCTTAAAAACCATATATATATACGATTGTACAGCTTGATAATAAATTCGTTGTTGGAGAGAGTCTCTTCCCTGAATATTGTGTTCTTGATGCTACAGTGGGAATTATTAAATTCTCCGCTTTATTCTCATTTTTCTCCATGCTACTCTCCAAATAAGCGCAAAAGAAATTTCATAAGAATTTATGTTAATACGACTAAATAAAAAAAATTCATCGATGTCATATTAAGCATGGGCGTTAAATAAACAGACAATTGTCAGAAAAGAGCTTACATCATAATCTATATAAATAAAGAGGAACTTATTACCGGAATTTATGTTACATAAATTATTTCTTCTGTTAACTTCTGTCTCTGCAAATTTTTGAGTTCTACTATTTTTTATATATGTCCAAACCAAGTTCACTTTTAACAGTTTGAAAAAATTTGGGCATTGGGTATATGATATTCTTGTAAAACAAGAAGTCTTTTCAGAAGATTTTATGCACATACGTCTAAGTATAAAAATTCCACCATACCATATTCGGCACGTACTTTATGCGATCAAAATAGCGTCAGGCATGAACTAAATAACCGTCTTTGCACTAATAAATAAACCATTTATTCCACCCTTACAGTACCAAACTTTATTGTTATTGCATTTCTTATATTTATAATCCTCTCAATTTTCTGTTTTTATTTATTTATTTTTCATAAGTGTGAACATAATTTAAGCTGTGTTATAACTGTTAATTTTGTCTTTCCCCTCACTATACATGAGATCCAATAATCTATAACATACTAAAGTTTCTAAACTGAATCGCCAATACTGTTTGAAACAAACTCACTCTTATTATTATTGTTATTATTATTATATTTAATACTCTCAATTCGTGCTTCGAATATTTTTGACTTTATATCGTAAACGTGGACAAATTCCTCTGGTTAATTTTGTTTTAATTTTTAGTTTTATTTATATTTTGAGTAAATCAGATGCAATATTGTGACAAATGCTGAGAACTCCATTCTGTATTATAAGTACTGTTTCTGGAATAAAGTAAATTATTATTATTGTTATTATTATAAAGATTTTTGTATTTCCAATGAATGAAAAACAAAACGATATTGTTTTTACTGACGTTTCGCTATTTAATGCTGCTTACAGCTTTATCAAAGTATTATTAAACTGGAATTTACAAAATCTCAGCATATATGTAACAAAGAGTTAAGAGGTGAGAAAATAGGCTTAGTTCAACTTAAAAGGACATAATGAAAGTCAAAATAACAATGAAGATTACTAAATTAAACATCAAAGGTAATAATACATCTGTTATGACATCAAAATAAAGTTTACTAACTTGATGATCGTTCGTCAGTCTGGAGTAATTTTTCGTTGTCAAATTGGTCACTTGGTAAAGATAAGAAAATCAAGTGTAAATTGTTGGTTTAATCAGTGTGTGTTGAACTTGTTTATCACATTCGTGTTGATTTTGTCACTGCATGGTGGACGGGAGGGAGGAGTTGTAACCAGGTCAGATTCTGTTTTAATTTTTTAATTATTTGTAAAAGGAGATAAATTGTTACGGCATATACAAGTCTGAAAATTTCTCTGTGTATCAATACTGTGCAAAACTATTGTAAAACAACATTTGAATAATAATTATGTCGGATAATTGGGAAGTTTTATTTCTAAGAGAAATTTACACTCCAGTGTTATTTGAATTAACACTGCCTTCTTGTAAGACTGTGAGATTGGTAAGTGATAATGGTGATGGTTGCGATCTAAGCCGCAATGGTTCTGGGAATGAGGAATTCGGTAGTTGTCTGCTTGATAACTGTTGGGCAGCTGATGGAGACACTGGAAAATGTTGATTCCATGGTAGTGGAGGATACAGACATTGCAGAGAAGGATTATTTACTGAAGCTTGCGTACATTTCACAATAGAGCTGACTCTTTTCAAACCATACTGTGGAATATTATAAATACACTGACCGGGGCTAAGCAGAAGGTATCTACCATAGAATTCAGGTCGCCTGTACAGAAGAATTACGAACAGATTAGTTATAAAATGATAAGTTAATTGTCTATAGTGCTGTTAAATAACTAATGGGAAATTACACTAATGAAAGCTTTATAAATCATACAAAAAATGATAATGGCTAATCTGTGAGTAAAAACTGTTTCAAGTTTGGTCATGAATTGACCTCAGTTAGGGGACTATTGAAAACCAATGAATACTGGACAGCTGCTTGATTACATTTTGGCAGTCTTTATCAGTACGTAACCACCGGGAAGCAAACCCAGAGCCTTTTCGACGGACAGATATAGAAGACGTTTCAGTTCAAATAAGTACGTCATTTGCCGACACTTTTTGTATTATAACGACAAAACATGGTACTAACTCCATTATGCATAAGATTCTATTTTGATAAGTCACAGTGTTAGACAGTATTAATAACTGATGATGACGTTTCGAGTACAAATTATTACTGCTCATAATATTATCAAGTTACTCACACAACTTTTTCCTTCATTTATATACATGTGTGGAATTGACTAGATATTTAAACAAAAGACTAAAACAAGACCCAGTGGACCCAATTAAACAAAATAATATTATTTACAAAATACCTTGCAATGACTGTGAGTTAAGTCAACTATATGGGTCAAACTATTAGATCGGGGGTAATCAGATTGTCGGAACATAAGAATTTAGCTAAAGTAATAATGGCTGACGCTGAGAAGATAAGTAATTTAGAAAAAAAGCTCACTAACTGAACTACATGCATTAACACACAACCACACAATAGCATGGTGGGGGAGGTTTAAAATTCTAAGAAGTAATATATGTCGGTGACGAGACAGATTGATTACTGAATCCTGGTTCATCGAGTCTATTCCCAACACATGCAACAGAAATGACTCAATGCAAATACCAGAGACATGGAAGCCATTATTACCACGAGTCAGGCTAATAAAAGGAGGATAATAAATAATCTCAGAATTCTATTTCAATTAAAACACATCACAACATTCTAATAAGTGACTTATTATGACTATAAAAACACTCGTGTTATTTCCCATCTGATTGTATTTGATCAATACAACTCATATTATTATTTCTGAATGTACATTATCCTATACTGATTCTTATTCAAATATCTAGTCAATTCCACACATGTATATAAATGAAGGAAAACGTTGTGTGAGTAGCTTGATATGATTGTGAGCAGTAATTTGTGCTCGAAACGTTATCAGTTAATATTATTATGTAACACTATGCGACTTATCAAAATCAAATCTTATCTATAATGGAGTAATACTCTACCACACTACCCAGGTTTTGTACTTATATCGATAGGATATGATAGTATTTGATGACGAAATTGTTCATTGACAAACTGATGTACAGATATGATAAAATGCAAAAACCTGATATTGAAATCCCCATTTGCTCATGTCCTCCATATGACACTTCTTTTGTCTTCCTTTCTATGCTTTCTAGATTATTTCACAAGGATCTTTCATGTACCATCTTCTCAACTTAATCTATCTCCCCACCTTTCACTATTCTTGCAGCAGACAATACATACTTAATAAACTACCTATAAATTCTTGTCATAAGTGTAAGTCACCTAAGTGCCTGAGTCAAAAAGTTTTGAGTACAGCTGCTCCGATCTTTCTTAATAATATCCGTTCTTGTTATCCCTTAGTACCAACTTCTCTATCACACTGCATCCATCTCTGAAGTTAAATAGCATTAACACTTTTCTGTTTGAACAAAGCAAGAACTACAGTATCAGCAGAATAAAGTGGTACCATATTCTATTTCGTTGCCTTCTCGTCAGCTGCTTACAGGACAAAGACATTATTAAATATCTGTACAAAAACAATTTTAACATACTTACACAGAGTTCATTTTAAAGAAAAATCAATCGATCAATACATGCATAGAGTAATATATATATATGTATATAATATTAAACACTATTCTGAACAATAATAATCATACACAATCAAAACTTTTCAGCATTTCACATTCAGATGAAAGATTGTGTAAAATGCCAGTCTACATTCAGCTTGATTATAAAGGTGAAAACATTACATCAATGATCAACAGAAAACTGAGTACATCCCTAGCCATAGCCTATCCTGCAGCTAAGCTCATCCTGGTCTATCGAAGAACTTGGTCTTTGGTGCAATCAAAAATCGATAGATATCCTTCTTATATTAACTCCAACTGTATATACAAATTTACATTTATCCGCGGGAGCAGTTACATTGGGAGGACAGAAAGAACGGTATGTCTACGATTTTCTGAACATTTAATAAAAAGCTTACATCTAAAGGGAACAAATGCTTTAAACGGTGCCATCGCCAGGCATCTCCTCGACACGGGTCATGAGGTGGACGTCGAAAAGTCGTTCAAAATTATCAATAGGCAAAAGATCTCAATTCGCCCCAAGTTTCACTGAAGCCATTTCCATCAAGCGCCTGAAACCTGATTTGTGCGCCTAGAAAGAAGCAGTTATCAGTCTTTCTTTGCCCTGATAACTGGATATTTTTCATCTATCTTTCATCTGAATGCGAAATGCTGAAAAGTTTTGATTGTGTATGATTATTATTGTTCAGAATAGTGTTTAATATTATATACATATATATATATATATTACTCTATGCATGTATTGATCGATTGATTTTTCTTTAAAATGAACTCTGTGTAAGTATGTTAAAATTGTTTTTGTACAGATATTTAATAATGTCTTTGTCCTGTAAGCAGCTGACGAGAAGGCAACGAAATAGAATATGGTACCACTTTATTCTGCTGATACTGTAGTTCTTGCTTTGTTCAAATTCATTAAGGGGAATAAATGTCTGAAATGACTTTTTCGTTTGTCTTCTCTTCTGGCGGTATGAACAAAAGCACGTTCCGTGCACACGCCTCAATACAGTGTTTGCGGTCATTTATCTTTTATGCGATTTTACTTGACTTAAATTCAAGAATTTTGATAAGCTCCATCAAAAGATTCTTCTAAAATACGAGTGATTAGAAAATCGTGGAAATAATTACAGATCAATTGTTTCATAAAATGTTTGATTTTGATTTGCTGATAAAATATTCTCTAACATAGACTGATAATACCAGTGGCGATAATGGGATAGTAGAAGCATTTTAAAATTTTGTGCATCGGTGGCACAGTGGTTAGGACTCTCGCCGACCATGCACATGGTCTGGGGTTTGATCCCCTGCCGACACGCATCTGATATCAATGGTCGGCCTGCAGAATTTGGGCTACCCATATCACATGCTGAAAACTCCATACCTATGCCAAAAATACGGTGTTGAATCAAGCTGAAATCAAAAAAAAAATATATATATAAATATAACAAAACAGCCCTACAGACACTTACTCATACAATGCCCAATATCTTGCAGGCAAATACCAAACCATTTCAGGTGAACACGCAGATCTTGTATTCCATGCTTGTTTTCGTGAGATTGCTTCATTGCTATCGCACATATCATACCAAGAACCTCTTAGATTTATTTCACTATACAACCTAAGGCATAGTAATGATGAATAATCTCCTTGTAATAAACGTGTTCCCGTTTGTTGTCCAGTTGTATTACTGGATACTTTGGTAATATTGGTATAGATTTCGCTTGTATTGACTTTCGTCTCCAATATCAAAGCAGATAAGAAAATTAGCACAGTACTGGTAGACAGCAAATGAGTTGGCCTCATTCTTTTGCTCAAACTGTAGCAAGTCTTCAGCTGTCTTTTTTATACTATTTCGAGAGTAATAGATGATCATGTCATTCAAATGAGGTGACTCCGTGATAACTCTTAAATGTGTTTACAACAAACGTGCATGAAATCAGACAAAGAGGCTAGTTAAGTAGCCAGTTTAACCAGTAAAAGTATGGTCATTCATGTGCTGATATAACCAGATGACCAGTAGTAAAATAAATCACTTATATTGCATGTGATCATAGCCTTATCAAGACAATTTGTCTGTCACGTTCTATAAGCATTTTTGTTTATTTCCTAAAATTAATTTGAAATAATTAATTTACCGGATGTAAAATAATTCTCAGTGACCAATGAATCAAATACATGCTGACGCCACTACTGCAGAATGTGTGAGCGGGAAAAATGTCTGCTAACTGGAAAGTAAGGCTACCATCTCAAATTGCCCATAGAAAGTCGATTGGAATCAACACAAAGGCTGTCGCAGGATGATTCTCCTTTCAACCACATGCAAAATATTAAGCTGTAAAGTCCTGAAAGGGGTAAAGAATGGAGCCGATAGAAGGCTTTGGCAATCAGCAGATTTCTTCTAGGGGGAAACGAATCATACGGAGACCGAATTAAGACAGTGCGCATCATGACCAAAACAAATCTCAGAATGTCAGTCAATTCTGTATTTCAAATTTGTCGACATATACGATGTAAAAACATTTCATTTTAATCTGTTTACATGAATACCAAAATTACCGGGAAAGGGAACTATTCTACTTTGAGGATGAAGATCAAGGGATGGGGATAGATGGACTGGAAAAACCTTTTCGGAACACATAGAGAAAGCTGAAATATTTTTATAGTAACTATCTCGGCTAAATCTCAAAGTTTAGGGCACACAAAGAAAGAACTGAAGTGGCTTAAAGTTTTTACCAATCTTTTACCCAATAAGTGAGCCATTGTGAAACTCCTGATTTCCCATTTGATTCCTTTTCCTTACCACGTTCAACAATGCTCAAGAAGGCGGCGGCCCACTTACCAAGTTGTCCTGCTCATGTAACTGTCCTTAAGAAAGCCATTAAATTTATAAATACACACTGAAGTGGAGAGATTCAATAGCTCTTGCTTCACCTGCATTGAAACCATACGGCTGGTGGTGAATTTCAGATATAGTTTTGCAACAATGAATGTTTTAGCTATTATTTTGCCTTAAAGTCATATAAATATAGTATATATAGAGTAACCTATGTACTTCTGATGCGTTCTTCGCATTCCTACTGGGATGTAGAGCTTCAACAGCACATCTCCATTCCATAATCTTTCTCATGTCACCCTCTGACCCATCCTTTAACCAACTGCTTCATATTTCGGCTCCACCCAATGGCCTGTTTAGCGTAGGATACCACTAGACAGTCTTCCAGAGTTTGTTCAATCCATCCTCCATCTTCTTTAGCATATTTTTTGGATAGTGAGTTGTTGACTAGTTCTGTAACTGTCAGAGTACATTGCTATTTATCCTTTCTGGCCATCTAATCTTCCACATCAACCGAAGACAAGCATTAATGAGAATTGACAGCCTACTGAAAATGCTTTTCATGACGAACAAAGTTCCTGAATCATGTAAAAGTGTTTAGTAACTTGAGATTAATATCAAAAGTTCGGATTATGCTTCTTTTGCTGAGTGAGTGCCACCGATCTTGACGCTGATTTCATAGTAATGAACGCCTACGTTGCTTCTAGTGAATAGTTTAAAAGAAATTGGTCGGGATTTCAGTATTCAAATGAAATTTCACTTCTTGTACCCTGAATCTCCGTGGATTTTTTGTACACAGTGATCTGTTTAGTTTTGTTTTCAAAACAAAACTTAAAACTATCAGCTAAATAATTACAGTTTGTTCGTGATACATGTTCTGCTTATTGATTTACATTATTCGACGAATTAGAAATAGAATATTAATCCAGAATTTAGCCAGATTGTTGTTCATTATTCTTCAATCCAACTATATAATTTGAAATGACATTTGCAAAGTATGATTTTGGCTGTAGGGATCACGTTATTAAGATAAAAAGAAATGACACGTGCACTTGCTGTGTACGTGTAATTTATATAGCGTAAAACTGAACAGTTTGGTGGAAGGGAAAATAAGATAAATCCAGCCATTCTGCTTGCAAAAGAAAACAGATGATTTTCAGGAAGGAGAATTGATTATAAAACACAAGTTATTTCACAATATGATGGTCAGTATCTGTTGCTATAGTGAGGTTACTTAATTGAACGGATTATTGCATAAATGGTTTGGATAAAATTTTATGATATTGTGACATGTTTGCTGCGCTTAATTACATTTGTAGCTACCAAAAGTCGATATGTTGTGGTCAGAATGCTAGGCAGGAATCTTTACGTTCTAACGTATAGCTAACCTAAACTTTCTAAACAAACATTTATTAACTTCTGACATGTTCTTTGCTCCACTCCTTCCATTTAGAGTGGGATACAGACCATCAAACTTTGTAAGTTTCAGTAACGGTGATGTTAATTTTACGGAGTAGAGTTGCTGGCATCATACGGAATCTTACTTTTTTACGACTTACTTCTGAATACTTGGTAGGGTAAGGATTAGGAATTCGTTGGCGACCTCATGCATGAATGAAGAGCATTCTCTTACTGAACAAGCAACGTAATCGGACATGTTCCAGCGTGGTTCAACTAGTAATTTATCATTTCTGTATAAGGAATAAATGATGTATCAAATTATAATTTCAAAAGATGATTGTACTTTAGTATGTAAATTTGTAACGACAGAAGACAAGGGCCAGTCAACAGATCGTTTATTGAGAAAACCAAGAAATATTTATGGATTTTTATGTATATTATTATTACCGTCACTGTTAGCAGAGAAGTAACCTCTTCTGATAGGTTGTTTTATTGCTGTTTTATTATTTTTTATTTCTACACAGGACATCAATATGTGGTGAGAGCAGGCTGCTAGCTGACTGGTTGACATTAATCTACGTCAGTGTCTAGGTCACTAATATGGGCCGTGAGAAAATATGAACAAGGCTGTTTCAACAACCAATCACAGCAAACTTAAACGTGGGCAAATATGATTCGCAGATAGATGGCTCCACTTTCCGAGGAACTCGAAAACAACCAATCAGAAGACTGCGTTTGTCTACTTGACTAGGCTACAATAATGTATGTCAAATTTATATAAACACGTGTTGATTTCTGTAATAAAACGATCTGTTGCGAGCCCTTGTCTTCTGTTGTTACATTTAGTGTCACTGCTTCCAAAAAATGAAGATCCCGTGGCCAACCATATATATAAATATATAATATAAAAGTTAGCATAATAGGACTAGTCAGCGTACCAGAATAATCACAGTTACTTCACAGAATATATATATATATATATATACATTTATTAATCACTCCTCGAGGACTCCATTTGCTTTCTTTTGTGTTGCTCTAGTTTGTCTTCTTTTTTCTCTCACCATTTTAACTTCTATATGACTTTTTGATTGAGAATGAAGAATTTAGATATTTGACCACTCACAATGGCAAATGATTTGCAAGCATTACTGGTCCCATGCCCTACAACTGCCTCGTAAACTACGCATTACCTTCCCCCTCGACGCATCCTGGATTACACTTGTGGAATATACCTTTATACCAATAAAAAGTATTAATTTATAATACTTCACGATTGTAATTTATGACATAACTGATCGTGCCTGTAAAAATAGCTTGCATTTCTTGTAAACACCCGTTTATAAGATAAATATAAACTACTCTTCTTATTAGTCTGCAATGAGTAGAATTCACTTCTGGTGTTTCTTACGATAAAAATGCTGACAAATTTACACCAATACATCAGTCATTTTAAATTACTACCAATTTGGATATAAAACAAGAATAAGATTCGATGCTGTACACATCAAAGTTATTTGAGGGAAATGACTTCAAGCTTTATCTTTTTTTCAAAGTATTTGTAATCCATCCAAAACATACTTGGGTTTTCTTGTTAATGCGGAGACAATATTTCTATATTTCTTGATGTGCCCCATTGAATGACTAGTTAGCAGATTGTTCCCACAAACCAAAGACAAAAAAGACAGCAGCCAAGTAATTTCACCACCATAAACAAAACTTATGTAACTTAAATAATACTCATCTATGCCTGTACAGCTGGTGTGTCCTACATAGGTAGGAAAAATATGTACTTTATTATATTATCGTTACTAAATATGCTTGGTAATCGTATATGCAATTTATCATATTGATGATGCCTGTAAACTGGCGTCCCTCATGTACAAAAAAAGAAAACATATAAATGTTATTATATACATTACAAAGGGGGTACTCTTCATAGAACAAATGGGAATACGAACCATTCCTTCTATAAGCATGTGCTAGACTAAAAATAATAGCTTGGCTATCATACAAAAGAAACTGTAGATAGAACAATATTTAATTATAGATTTCTCCATGAACCAATATCCTGTGGTGAGTCATTTAAGACTAAGAAGCAATGGACATCTGTTTCGTCCAACTTTGGAATTACTCAGCAGTCCACATACACTTATAGGTTACTGAATTCTTGCCTAGTGATTGGAAGGTCAACGGACTGGAATTGGGGACTGAAGGTCCTGGGTTCGACTGCTTGTAATATCATGGATAGATACTGCCGAAGAGTCCCAAACTAGGATGAGGTAACTGTCTTGTTTAAACACTGTTCGATGCTTTATGTATTCATTTAGTCACCGTTCACTTCTCGTGAGAATTTTAGTTTCCTTTGTATAACAAATGTGTTAATCATTCAAACACAGATATGTAGAAAAATAATAATTTGCTCAGTGAAACTTTTAATCTTCTATCGAAGGATATTCTATTCATTCAGTTTCATCCCTTGTTAAATGAGGTCATAGTAATAACTTGAATAAATAATTATTCCGCTTTGTTTACATTACTGTAACTTCCCACAATTTTCAAAACTACAGTTGTCATTGCGTAACACACAGTTATCATGAATACAAACAGAAAATTGTAATTAATCATTGTCTATAAACATAAAAAGTAATCTTTCAAGCTGTTTGGTAATAATAATAATTCCGACTCTTTGATATCTTTGTGTTTATTTATGACTTTATATGTTGTCTTCGATTGGTATCGTGTAAGACTTAAAACTGGTTCATTAGTCATCCTCTAGACAACAGTCCCGAAAATGCTTGTGTAGAATCTTTTTTTCTCCTTCTTTCTTTCACCTCTCTCAATCCAACAGTAGCTTCAACTTTAAATTATGGCAGTGGATATTGAAAATAAGCATAATATCACATGTATCACTCCTGCCTAACCTTCTTTATGCGCTTCTACTACTCTATATATTTGAAAACGGATTCAAAATTTGCAAATGGGTTAGCAAGTCACCAGCCACGCGAGAGATTTGACAGAAGTAACTTCCTCCACTTATCTAGGAAGCATCTTTTCGACTAAAGGCAGTCGGAAAGGATGAGGATGTCAACAACCTGAAACCAGTTTGAAAATCATTTGCACTCAGTCAGCATAAAGAAGAAGATTAGGATTTCCAACACAAATGTGAAGTTGGTCCTTCTGTATGGGTTAGAAACTTGCAGTGCATGTCACGAAAAGCATTTCCAATAGGCTACTGTAAACTTTTATCAACAGTTGCCCTCACTGGGTCCATACTGAAGATCAAATGGCCAGCCAGAGAGAAAGAATAAGTAACAAGAAACTCTGGCTGAGAACATACCAACAGACGCGAGCTAATCGTTCAGTAAATATATAGGCGAAAATGTAGATGGATTGGGAATACGGTGAGGAGACTGTCGATTGACATCACGCGCAATGCAGATTATCACTCGAGGAGAATCCGAATGAGAAGCTACGAATGAGTCGCCAGTGTGAGAGTGACATGGAAGAGATCGTTTGTGAAGGAGGCGATGAGAGATTATGGGCAATCGTGAACTCAGCTGAAGAGGATGGCAGAAAGTAGAAAAAAGTTGAGATGTGTTGTTGAAGCCCTGTGTTCCACTAGGAACCCAAGGGAATAATAATAATAATAATAAATTGGTTAGCAATCTGAAATGGACACAGTTTGATGAGTGACATTTTCACCCGTTTTCTTTGGAAAAGAAATTGTTCAGACCACAAGATATGTCATCTGCTTGATACCATAAGTAGTAATCAATGAAGCAAACATATTTGCACAAAACTATAGACTACTGATTGGCTGAAATGAGTAGTTTCATACCCCACATATCACAACCAGTAGTACTTGTTAGCGAACTCGAAGTGATCTGAATACCAGATGGCCAATTTGCTTGTTAGGGGCAGAGGTTATCAGCAGTTTAATCTTAGAGCTGTGTATATTGCTAATCCCAGGCCAGTGTTCAAACTGGTCTTACAAGTTCATCAGAATAGCTAGCCGAAAATGGGGTGATTTGAACTAATTCGGTTGTCTGAAATGAGTCACAGCGGGTGCACCAATGGTGGGTTTGGTCCGAAACGACAGGAACGGCTGCCCAGTGTTTAGATGACCTACTACTGTCTAGCAGGAACAGTTGGTTGAAATCAGTGGTTTACAACTACTCATTTCAGTCAATCAGTAGTACATAATCCCATGCGAATACTCCAGGTCTTCTTGATATTTTTCTTGCTGCGGTAAAATATTTACGTGAATAAAACACCCGATTGCAAATGGTAATTTGCTACTTAACAAAAGCATATCAGTTTATATGCAAAACAGACCTTCTTTTCGTGTTAAAAATTAAACATTTTATATGTGTATATCATTCAGAAAGAAAATGTTAGAATTAAAGGTAAAATGCAATATTGTGGTAAATTTTTACAATTTCAAGCATCAAAACGAGTTAGTAGAATCAAATTGTTGGCTTATTTCATTGATATATTATCATAGAAAACGGTATAACCAATAGTCTCCCAGGTAAATCATTTTCGTTTGTGTTCCCCACTGAGTAATTCTGTGTTTTTACCAATTAATTTAAAAGTAGTATAGTTCAACTTTAAGTCAAATCTGAATATTGGATAACGTAGTTATTTAATTAATTGATGTGTAATTCAAGGAGGTAAAATTTACAGTGAAATGAATCCAGTGAATTAAAAAATGGGATACATTGTAGAATTCGTCAATACTTGTTGATGAGTCTTCTTCTCTTCATTTAAGGCATCATCAGAACTACTCGTAGTATGATTAACCCCACTTACTTTATGTAGGCTTTTCTGAGTGACTAACTCACTACCATTTATTTCCTGATCGTCATCACTGGCGTCATCATGATGATCATCATCATCTTTGGAATCTGTACGACGATTGAATAGAGATTTAAATGCTGCTTCATTTTCTATGGAGGCAATTTTACAATTTTTAACTGAATCTCTTTGAATATGATTTTGTTGACATTCGGGTAAACCATTAAAAATTAATCCGTGTATATTTGTAGACATCAAAGACTGATCTTTAGAATTTTCAGGCAGAAAAGTCATTTTTGTGTCATCATCAGAAATTTGAGAGATTTGACTTGAATGATTTAAATTATCAAATTTAATGGCTTCCAAGTTAGTTTGAATATTTAAATGTCCACCAAAGGGTGACTTCTTTTCCTTGTCAATTGATTTTGTATAAGGATTATCATGAATTGAAATACGATTTGCTTTACGAGACAAACTTTCAGATGGATAGTTTTCAGATGCTGTTGTTGTTGTACGCGTTGGGCAGAAAAGGAAACCTGATTCTCCAGATGGAAAACGTACTACTAGAGGAGTTAAACATGTTGGCAGCTGACCTGAATGCAGTGTTAGACCTTCATCCAACTGATGTCCTGAATTATTAGTACCATGAGACAGTGAATCAATTGTAGAACTGTTTCTAAATGTGTACGCATTCAAATCGTGACTGTTCTGTCTTTCATCGTTGTCAGTATCTCTGGGTGTGAATTGGTCACTTTTAAGGTGAATTGGTTTTCCTTCTTGATGAGCTGATTGTGAAGAAATATGCTGTTGAGAACTTCTGTTGTAATCATTTGAATAGGCATATTGTTGTTGGGATTGCCTTCCAATTCTTCTTGTAGTCTTCTCTGACTGTTCACCGGAACAACTATATTGAAATCGATACGCTGAATGAGGATTTTGTGGTGATAATATTATTTGATTAGGAGGTACAACACTGTTCCCGTTAGTTGTATCTGTTAGACTTATTGAATCATTTGAATAGATTAGAGAACCATTTAAGCTACCATTCTGTCCAATTATACTATTATTATTGTTATTATTTCCATTCTGGAAACAATATTCAGGTAACTGTGGATGACAGCTCGAGAGTTTAGAATAGTTAACAGACTGTGAATGGAATAGATTTACCCTTTTACTACTAACTGGATCCGATTCTAACGACACTCCAGAACTACTGTGTCCATTCTGCTGTGTATGAAACTTTAAAATATCATTTGGATTAATTGTATGAGGATTATTAACCAAGTGATGAAATGTAGGACTAGTTGTTACAAATGGTCCATTCGTTGTTATCGTTGTACTCGGTAAAGGTGTTGTTGATATAGTCGATTGAAAAAGATTTGGAAGAATAATACTTGTGTTCATAGGCAATAATCGATTACCTTCCTGGGGTGTATAACTTCCAGGTTTATTTTGATACAATAGAACTGATTCAGTTAAATTATCATCAATATGTGTAGAATAATTCACAAAACTTGCATTTGGTTCAATCAGTTGACCAACATGACATGAAGTCATTAGTATAGGTTGATGATTTGATTGGTTCAAAGATTTGTCTAGGGTATTCGACATTTTCAAATCAGATTTTAGTCGTAGACATAATAAACACTTTAGATTTGAGCTAATATTCCCATGTAATGTGTCATCTATGAAAAATAAAGTGTTGATAGTTAAGAGTTTTATAGAATTTTTTAATTATTGCACATACACTAGATAGATACTAAAGTTTATCAAGTATTAGTTTGTAGGGATTTGATTTGTTTCAAGTTCGATCGCGGACTGATATGAGTTGGAGCAACTAAGGAAATAGAAAACTAATGGACACCTGTTTCGTCCTTGTTTGGGACTCTTTAACCTAACGCCTCTATAATCCCACCTCAAAAATAGGACTAGAAAGCTGTCCAGTAGTGCATAGTTTTCAATGGTTTCCTAGTTCATATCATTCTGTGATCGGACTTGAGATACTAAAGAGTTACCGAGATTTTGTATCCTTTATGCAAATGATTCATATATATATATGATTGTCAATGGTGAATTGTGTCCGTTCAGTAAATAATACTGTTTCGCTCTGTCGCTTACATGGCACTAGAACGTCTGATATAGTTAGCGAAGTGAAATTGCTTAACTAAATTATTTTTCTCTTGTTCAATACCACGGTAGCAAGTAAACATTATTGTGAAGATATATATATATATATATATATATATATTTGAACGGTTTAAAAGATATAATCCAGCTGATCTTTTATTATTTCTGTTTCTCTGCACTCTCAGTGGAGCACAGGACTTCAGTCTTGTGCTTTGATGTTTTATTAGTGGCAGCGTTTTACTAGTTTACGGTGTGGGATTATTAAAATCACCGTCTACCTTTCCTCTTTATCAGGCTTACTACCGGGCAAGCAAGGTTTAGCGGTGTGTCGGTCGGCATTTGAACCTGAACCAAGTTCCTCGTTGGTGTGCACTGCACCAATAAATCACAGACGCATTTAGTCCACCTGTTGCCGTGTAAAATAGGACTATAACTTTTGCCAGTTCACGATACCGCGCAACCACTGGAGAATGTTATCAGCAAGTATTTGTCTTCCCACGTGACCTGCTGTACCTCAGTGATCACGACTTCTCGAGTAAAACTCAGGTAACTACCTACCTGAATAAGAATAGGCGCTAGTGAGCAACTCATTGATATCCAAGTGTTGGGTTGCAGGTTAGCAGGTCCCAGTGGCTTGATGGTCTACGAGCTTGCTAGCCTTGTAATCATAAAGTCCTGAGTTCGAGCCCTATAGGGCTCGTACTGCTAAAAGGTCCCAAAGTGGGATCAAACAGCTGTCCACTACTCCCAGGTTTTCCATTGGTTCTCTCTAACCGATGTCAGCGCATAAAGAAATCCTGATGAAATCCAAATCCATTACAAAATACGTAGAAAAAAATCTGATGTCTGATATGGTATGAAAATGAAGGCGAAATATTTTCATTTTCTGTACAAATTAACTTACCTAAATAACTTTTCAGTAGTACACATCGAATTATTAAGATTATATTGACAATTAAAGAAACAGCCAATACTCCAACCAAACTGAGAACAAGTTCTGGACGTGTTACTACATATCAGTGGTAGTAGGCAGAGTGATGGAAGAGAAAAAGAAGTAAAGTTATGTCTTGTATATATATATGAAGAAAAAAGTGAAAAAAATAATGAAATTTTCATTGGTAATAGTCAGACTAAATTATTCCAGATGAAAAAAATTTCTTGAAATAATAGAGAAGATTTGTAGCTCAGATGGATGATTTCGTGCTCGAGAACATCTCCCACTATGGCTAAATAAAGGTGTAGTTAAAACCATTAACAGTTCGATATTGCACCACCTGATGCAAACCGACCACAAAGCCAGCCATAACCCACCGGGTGCCTAATAAATTGCCAAAATCATCGAAGCCCCGCATGCTCCAAACAGCAGTGGCTATTGCAATTCACCTCAAACAACCATTACTCTGTGTTCAAAAGAAGCAAGTCCAGCCCCCACCACTGCCCTGTCCTTCAGTAGAGACTATAAATTCATGAATTTGTAATATTATCTTTCCTAATTCTTCTGACATTCAGCTTATTTTATGTTGATGCTATTCAGCTGTAATCTATCAATATTATTGATTCGATGTTATTTAAACAGCATTAATGTTGTTCATAACACTAATTCATTTATTCACTATAATATAATATATATATATATATAACTGATGAAAAGAGTACTCTTTGTTCAGTATCCATTCTTTTGGAGACTTTGAATTAATTGTGTTGATTCTGTGCTGGTTGATTTAATGGCGAAGTTAATAAAAAGCAAATCCCTTGACAAGACAGTTCAAAATCCATGTCAATAAAAATGACCAATAGAAATATAAATCAACTACCAGTCACGACAGTGGTTGCCTGGAGACACACTTACATCATTCATGGTGAAGTGAAGCGAGTCAACTCCATACTAAATCTGCGCTGAAGATATCATCCAAAAGGACGATGGGAGCTTCACAATTAAATCAACCAGTTCAGAAAACACAACTAATTCAAAAAAATATTTCTGATTGATTTAGAGTTATAATGAGTGTGACAGACGTTCTACAATCTTTTAAGTAGTAAATGTACAGCATATAAGTTTTAGTTTTTTTAAGCAGACTGGTCAAATATCTCAATGGAACATAACTTTTATACCCCCACTCAAACTTAGTGCTGTCCTCTTGCTTTAAGCACTGGAGTACATTCACCCTTAGAGAAATAATGCACATATGAAAATTGAATTGTTCTTGCTACAATTGTAGGGGAATTCCGGTTTACTGACAAGATAATTTCATTTATTGTACAGAGTAGGACTTCGATGTGATAGTTCATCAAATTGCTGAACTTTGGTGCAAAGGTTGGACAGAATTCTGCAGTCCGAGATTTGTGATAAACATGAATTTACATTATATGTTTTATCTGTGGGAATTGAAAATGCATTCAAACTGATCTGCAGCATCTTTTCTCACTACGCACATTCCGAGTGGTCTTCAAGCGCTTGAAGGTTCAGTAGGGGTGGTGTTGTTTCCACAGGATGAGGTTGCTAGCTTCACACACACAACCCTCTTTCTTTATCGGGTTTACAGGTGGCTGGGAAATTAGACGAGTTTTAGGGGTGAATCGATGGGAAATTGAACTGGGAGGAAGTGTGTGTTTGGCAAGCATTTTACCATTAAACTACCGACGATTTGCAGGGTAATTTTTATCAGTGTGGGCAATAATTATTCAGTTTATTGTGTGGCACTTCAAACATTTTGTGACTAGTTTGAACATTGTACCTAATGCTAATTAACTATCTAATAATAAGAGGGCAACTATAATGCTATAGAGCATATATGAACATATTCATCTCCGAATATAAACATAATTATAAGTGAATAAATATAACCATGAATTTATTTTGTGAAACTAATGTAGCATAAATTATTTCGGAGATTGTAGAAAGTGAGTTAAATTATTTTTGATGTAATAAAGATAGTGAATCACTTGACCAAAACTTTTACCACTGGTGGCTAACCACTTGATGGAATTACTGAAGTTCTAGTGAGAAGTTGTAATAAAAGAGTTTCGCCACGCCAGATGTGAAAATAAACCCTAGCAGATGATACTGGCCGGTGATAGTGCTAATTATAGCAACAGTAGCTGAATAGACAACTGTCTCTCCTCGCTACTTGTAGCTCCTCAGTCCACTTCGCGGAGGGATCCTGAGTGCACACTGCTGACGAGTCTCAGACCTGGATGAAACTGTTGTTAATCACTTCATGATTTTCATTCATGCCAGTTCGTTATGTAACCTGACGTCAATCAAATTCCTGCAAATCTCCGATTTCGGATTGGTATTATTATGCCATAACACAATTAATTCAGAGTATAAAGTTTTAAAATTGTCCCGGGTGCTAATTTTTGTTTATGGTTTAGAAGCTGATATACCCTGAACCTCATAACTAAACACCCATAGCCGACTTTTGTTCAGTAAACACTAGTGGTTACTTTTTTATGAGTATACATTTGCTAGCTTTTCATATGATCAGGGAGCATTGGCAAGAATACATATTTTACTCGTTCTGCAATAATTTTGTCATACTCACAGTTTATCAGCAAGTTGTAGGGTGAAGATTTTGTGAGGTTATTTAAATGTGCTTCCAGGCACTTTACTTCAAAGTTACCTGGAAGCAGTATACACGTGATAAAAGCCAGGTGACAGTACAATGTGACTTTGCAGTGATAACTACAAACGATCGGCTTGTAATATGAAGGCTTCTTGATACTGTATCATCAACAGATAGGATGCAGTTCATAATTAGTGATTAAGAAGGTGACATCCAACATCTTTTGATAATACTATCCTGTTGTTTTAGAAGTGTTTTATTATTAAAAAAAGCAGTGCAACTTTTTCAATTCAATGATTGAGCTAAGTGGGTAAGAAGTGTGCGATTAGCTTTAACCTACGAAGTATACTTTACTCTAAAATGATGAAGATGGTTTTTAGCTCAGGCGGAGGACTTAAGTATTTATGTGTTCATTGAGTTGAATTCTTCAACACTTCACAGTTTTAAAGTTCTATCTTGAAGGTATCTTCAAGGCTAAGCTCACCTCTTTAAGCGCGGCCTTAAAATGTCACTTAAGACTGAACCCAGGGACATCCAGTTAAAAAAAGAGTGCGTTTATCATTCATTTTTTAGGCTGCACATCAGTAATCTATGAATTCTAACCTCTGTCGTTTCGTGAAACAGAATCACCTCATTTCATTTTGTTGAGATTTCCAAATCCTTCAGAGTATTAAACGTACAAAGGACAGAGAATCTGCTACGATTTGCTGAAGCAATTGCAATCAAACGTCTCAGACCAAACTTATGCACACAAAAAGAGAGTGTAGTCAGTCTCTCACTCCCTTGGTAACCATATCACTTTCATTACACTGATTAGTCATACACACTAGTGAGCTCAACTCACTAAGCAAATTTTCAAATCGATGAACTTTGACCTTCTTGAGTTGCCATGTTGGCACTGTTTATTAAATTTTTCTGTTTTGTGTGTTCTCTCACCCCACCCCTTTTTCTTTTTCTTCATAGTTTGATAGTATGTAAATTGCTAGTAACTTTAACTGTAAATTGTAATACTTATATTTCGCACGAATTCTACAGACAGCAATGGACAATACGCCAGCTGGTGACATTAAAATACTAATGGGAGACATGAGCGCCAAACTAGGACTAGACAACACAGGAAGGGAACTCATCATGGGTAGAGAAGCTCTCGGAGAAATGAATGAAAATGGAGAACTCTTCACCGACTTCTGCGCCTTCAACGAACTAGTGATTGGTGGCAGTGTATACAAACACAAAGATATCCACAAGGCTACATGGGTGTCACCAGACGGGCAAACCAAAAACCAAATCGACTTCATCTCAATCTCAAGGAAGTGGAGGCGCAGCCTACTGGACACAAAAGTAAGAAGAGGAGCAGACGTTGGCTCAGACCACTATCTCGTACAAGGGACAATCCAAATCAAATTAAAAGCTTTCAGGGAAACAGGAGCTGCAGATAGACCACAAGCCAAGTTCAACACTCAAAAGCTGAAGGACCAAGATTCAAAAGACATCTTCACTGCAAGCATAAAGGACAAAGCCGAGATACAAATCAACACCAGCGAAAAGGTCAGCGTCGAAAAGCACTGGAACAACTTGAAAACGGTGTGGAGTCAAACCTGCATAGAAGTTCTAGGCAGAAAAAAGAGACAGGACAAACAGTGGCTCACTACGGACACTTGGAAACTAATAGAAGAGAGAAGGACAGTGAAACAAAAGATTATCCAGTGCACTGACGAGCAACAAAAACAGGAGCTGAATGCAAGCTACAATACACTGAACAAAAGAGTGAAGAAGAGTGCCAGGGAAGACAAAAGAAAATATTATGAAACCATGGCAAACGAAGCAGAACAAGCTGCAGGCAAAGGAGACCTCGCCACACTCTACCAAACAACTAGGCACCTATCGGGCAAAACTTCGACACAGATTAAGCCAGTAAAGGATGACAATGGAAAGTCAATCACCAAAGAGGTGGAACAGAGAAAGCACTGGGCTGAACACTTCAAAAGACTTCTAAATCGACCGCCACCTACAACGCGCCCAACAATACCAACAACGGAAGCAGAACTACCAGTGAACACTGACCCCCCGACGAAATCAGAAGTCCTGAATGCAATCAAGATGCTAAAAGCTGGGAAAGCACCAGGACCAGATGGAATCCCAGCAGAAGCTTTGAAAATAGACCCAGAGACAACAGCGGACTTGATGACGCCATTGCTGGAGAAGGTGTGGAAAGAGGGCAAAGTACCCGAGGATTGGAAGAAAGGATACTTATTCAAACTACCAAAGAAAGGAGACTTAAGTCAATGTAAAAACTGGCGTGGAATTATGCTCCTGTCCATCCCAAGCAAAATACTAAGCCGCATCATCCTGGAGAGAATCAAACACGTCAAACTGGATGGAAAACTTCGACCTGAAAAAGGTGGATTCAGGAGAAACAAGTCATGTATTGATCAAATCGCCACTCTTCGGATCATCATTGAACAAAGCTTGAAATGGCAGTCACCTCTCCACCTCAACTTCATCGACTTTGAAAAGGCCTTCGACAACGTCGATCGAGAGGTGATTTGGCAACTACTTCGCTACTACGGGGCCCCATCGACAATTGTACATCTCATCCAACAGTTATACGACAATGATGCATGCCAAATGATCCACAACGGGAAACTTACGGAAGCATTCGAAGTGAGGATGGGTGTGAGGGAAGGCTACCTACTGGCGCCAATAATCTTCCTGATTGTAGTAGACTGGATAATGCGAGAGACAGCGAGCCGGCAATGAGGAAACAGGCATAAAATGGACCCAAACACAAAAAACTTGGAGGATCTGGACTTCGTCGATGATGTATGTTTGATTTCCCACAAACTGGAAGATATGCAAGTGAAAAGCAACAAGTTAGCAGAGGAAGCATCCAGTGAAGTTAAGACTTCAGGTGAACACAGACAAAACAGAGTTGATGAAGATTCCTGGCCAACACCAACAGCCACAGCGAAAACGACAGACAACAATCAGGCAGCATAATTGCGAGGAACCTGAATGAAACAACCTCCTTTACCTACCTGCCGACCTGAGAAGCATCGTTTCAACTACAGGCGGAAGTGGCGACGATATTAGAGCTAGAATCGGAAAAGCGAGGCAGGCTTCCATTACTCTTAAGTCTGTGCGGAGGTAAGCAGCACTCAGCATCAAAAGTAAGATCCGGATTTTCAACTCCAATGTGAAGTCAGTGCTTCTATACGGATCAGAGACTTGGCGCATCATAAAGAGCATCTCAAGCAAACTTCAGACCTCATTAAATGCTGAAAATTCCATTCTGTATCACAAGTACTGTTTTTGGAATAAAGTGAATCATTATTATTATTAACAGTTGTCTTCGCTCAGTACCAGTCAAGATCAGATGGCCAGAAAAGATCAGCAACAGGGATCTCTGGCAATGAGCGAACCAAGCAGGAACTGATTGTGAAACAATATGCAGGAAGAAATGGAGATGGATTGGCCACACTCTGAGGAAACCATCAAGCGACATCACTAGACAAGCCATCGCTCGAGTGGAACCCGAAAGGGAAGCAGCGAGTTGGTCGTCGGTGCAAGGGTGACTTGGAGGAGGTCATGTGAAGAGGAGATGAAAGCATGTGCGCCGAGTTGGAGCCAGGTGAAAACTTTAGCAGAGAACCGAACGCAGTGGAGACGCGCAGCTGAAGCCCTATGTTCCTCTAGGAATTAAAGGATATAATAATAATATATTCCGGACGCGTTCGCCTAATAATGTTTTCTCTATCACCTTTCAAACAATGAAGTATGAAATGTTATTATTTATAACCATTGTAATTTCAGGTGGTCTGCAGCTGATGAGTACCTGTAAAGTAGAATGATGATATCATTTTATACTGCAAATCTGGTCTTTCTTTCTCTACCGAAATTTATCAAGGGAACCAAATGTGTGAAATTTATATATTTTGAGGTGAATTCTTCATTCTGTTGAACACTTATCTACCTGAGTTTATTAAAGTAGAGAAAACATTTAGAACTAAAAAAATAACGGGTTCTATGTGCTTAAATATGTCTATGCAGTAGGTTTACGTAGAAGTTCGTGAGTAATTCAGTAATAGTATGCTCACTAACCACTCAAGTGTTCAAGGGTGAGGAAGATAACCAACCAATCAAGGATAAAGAACAGTTACTATGAACAGTAGAGATTAGAACGAGGTCAATTTTTTTCACTTATTTGGGCAGCAATGTATCAACTAGAGGAGGCATGAGTGTCGAACTCATGGTCAGTGGAGCAAGACAACACATTCATCATTCTGAAATCAGTGTGGAAATCCACTGTACTCGGCATAAGGAAGACTAATGTCATTTTCACAAATGCCTAAATTTTATGCTGGAGGAAATGAAGATAGATCGAGCATGCGTTGAGGAGACTGTTGGGTGAAATCGCGCTCCAGGCCTACGAGTAGAAACCGAACGGGAAGTGACGAGTGTGTCGTTCGACACTCACATAGAAGAGATTGTGTTATGAGGAAATTAGAGGTTATGAGCAATTGTGGAGCTAGCTAAACAGCAGCGCAGAAAACAGAATGAAATAGAGATATACTGTTGATGCCTTATGTTTTATTTGGAACCGAAGGGGATAATAATAGTAATGGAATTTCTCCCGAAAGAAATCCGAAACGATAATCCAAACTATAGATTTAACCACACGTAGAGTGACGCGTAAAGTCCAAAATACAGGATATTCTGAAATACGGTACTTTATTACATAAAAATAGATATATAATATACAAACCTCAAAATGTGAGGTGTCTGTGGCTAAATGCCGTCAAATGCACAACCACTGTGCAGTCAATAAGTAAAAACAGCAATGCTGTGTCAAGGTCGATCCACGCGTCGGTTCAAACGGCCCGCGAATGCCAAGCAAAGAATAAACAAATATGAACAAACAACTTTCAATAGTAAAGCATACACTATAGGGTAAATGCAGCAAATAATGTTTAAGGAGAAGAAAAATAAGAACTATACATTAATAGAATGATAATAGAACAAGTAATTTAACTGCAGTTGTAAGCAAATGTCATCGTTATAAATTAACACATTAAAATCATACTAATTACTAATGGCAAGTAGTCTAATGTTGAACAAAGGAAAGATTGAGAATGAACAAGTAGGAAAGGAATTAACAAGTAATGCGCGAAAACCGCACTGCGCTATGTTGGATCCCTCTATTTCACTTGGAAAGCACGGGGATGAGAAAAGCTTCCTATGACGAGACTGAAATGCGCACATAGATTAGCTGACAGAATGTTTAAAATTTCCTCCTTATTAAGTATTTTATATAATATAGAATAATCTAATAGTCTTCCTTTTTCACTATTAGAGTAACTTTTAAGAACAGTTTTGATTTATTTGATTGTCATTCCTGTAGCTGTTGAATATTACATGAGCTTCTTTAGGCGAATTTATTTCATTACTGTGTGGTTGTTCTGGTGTTGTTCATTAGTAAAATCAGTGTTACAATATGCCTCATAACCAACACAGTCCTACCTGTCCATTTGCAACAAATTTGAACCACGTTCCTTCAAAAAACGTGAATTCCAAATTTGTCTAATGCTCTTTTATATTCTATTTTATAGTAGCTTCTTTATGTTCATTACAAATGACTTCTAGACTTGATCTTATTACTGGAAATTTTTTATGAGTGCTGAAAATAATTGTTTGGACTGACCGCCTGAATTGATTCAGTATAACTTTTCGGTTACATGGCGAGACAAATGATATCTAGGTGATGCTCTCAAAGCTGAAGTCATAACTCATGGAAGCTGCCTAATACTTCACTTGTTACTCAGTTCACTACAATCCAAGCAGCAATTCCAGCCTCAAACATGTTGTAGACACTGCATAACCCAAAGCTTAATTTCGCTTTCATCGAAAGAAACCACATCCGTTGATTGGCTTCGCGAAGGCTAGTTTTCATCTACTGGAATTATTCGTCCTTGGACTGGGGTGTATTCGTGATATATTTACTTTATAGTTTCACTGGCTAATAAACTAGGCATAGTTTGAAATCCAGTTAGACCCTGCATTACCAACTGGTCATCCATCCCGGTACTAACCCAGCCAAGAATGGGTTGAGAATTGGTGCTTTCAAAGTGTTATGGTTGTCATTCGATTCTGCAGAGTCGTTACAAAATCTATCATTATATGGGCAGTTAAACTATTAAAGGTGTGCAGAGAAAAATTATAACCATCTTATATCTGGAAATAAAATCTGCCAGAGAAAACTTCTATCTTTGCAGTGCAACACTGTCAGTGACTCATCAATATTTTCAACTTACATTTGAATTCAAGAAATTGACTACTTTCTTGTTTTTGAGTTGAACGGAATTGACTTATCTCTCCAGTGTCATATTTCCCAACTTCAGTTGCATTCGTGGAATTCTCTATCAGAATAAAAAGAAAACGGTTTTTTAAGAAGAAAATATTATTTTGTCAGTATACTGGGTCATTTAACCGATAAACTGAGAGACGAACATATAGAAAGTGTAAAGCAGTAGTTTGTTTGCTTCAGATGACTTCAGTGGAAAACTGTGTGAAAGTGTTAGCATATATATATATATATATATATATATATGTATATGAATACCTACGACTTAGTTAAATAAATTCTGAAAAGGAGATGAATACCTGTTTAAAACCACCTTGAATTATAAGTCCCTAGGTACACCATTCCTTCATGTCTGTCCTCAACGAATCTGCTTTCTACCTTGTGGCTGAGGTGCGACTACACTGTGGGCTTAGGTTTTCAATTTGGCTTTTTGACATTGGTTTATTTCATGACTAAGTCACTGTCTCTATGGTAGTGAACCAGCTACTCAACTTTTCAGATGCCATCCAGTTCCACCCGGCAGTATGATAACTATTCCTGACGTAAATTTAAAATTCATTTTATAAATCTAGGACTCTTCATCAGTACGCAGCCACTGGGGTTTAGATTCAGGATGTTTTGGTTGCAAGGGCAGTGAGCTCTTAGACCATTAAGCCACTGGAACTCAATCAAATAGCCCATGAATCCTAATTTCTGCCAATTCACGACAGCGCCACCATTTCGCAATGTCTTCTTTGATGAGTTACTGTCTCACCTTCAACTTGCTATACCCTACTCGTCACGACTTCTCATTAGAACCTGAGGTCACTGCCTGAATATGACCAGTCGCCAGTGAGCATCAGATCAATTTTCAAGTATTCGTTTTTGTAGGGATTTTGTGTGCTTGGTCGGAGGACTAAATTCAACCAATCATACGAAACCCCTGCCAAAACCAATACTTAAAATTCATTATCTTTATATGGTGGCATTAAGTGATTCACTTAACTATCAAGGAATTTTGGGTGTCGAAAATGTTGTTGTGTACTTAGAAGAGTTGTTCAATAATGGGATGATATTATAGTGAAAACGGTTTTCGTAGAAGGTGATATCAAATGCAGTGACTACAGGTGAATTCAGACAAAGCAAAAGCTTTATGTAATTAACTAAGAAGTATTTAGAAACACAACAGTGGGTTACAACAGTGGAGAATGTTGTATGATTAAAAATGAATATTTAGTCTGAAATAGCTTCACCATCAAACACCAGTGTTTATTATGATATGAAACAATTTTTTAACATTGTAATATTCTATATTTCAACAAATATAATCATAAATAATAAAATAATAATGAATAATAATAAATAATAATAAATATAACTCTTATGTTAGTGTATTTACTATGTCTATAAAATGAAGTACACGTCAACTCTATTCCGTGAAATAAACTTAATAGGGAAAATAATTCTGCACCTTAACACATGATCATGAATGGTAAGTTTTCTTCAAATCCAACTTCGGACAAAAACAGTTTTGTCTTTTTTTTTTTGATTACAGCTTGATTCCACACTGTATTTTTGGTACAAGTATGGAATTTTCAGCATGGATATCGGTAGCCCCGATTCTGCAGGCCGACCATAGATATCAGGTGTGCGTCGGCAAGGGATCGAACCTCGGACCATGTGTATGGTCGGCGAGAGTCCTAACCACTGTACCACCGACGAAAGTAAGTGTTCCCCGATAATTAGGTATACGTTTACAAAACTCTTTCAATGAAGAAACCGAAAGGATCCTACTATATGTCATCTTGATTACTGCTGTATATATATATATATATATATATATATATATATATAACCATAGTTAAGTGACAAGAGATAACATAGATTATTTATTCTGAAGGAACAGATCGTAGAGACAAGATGATGTCTACATGTCCAGTTACTATGCTACTTATACCCTGATTCCCACCGATTCGTCATCAAGCGAAAGAGAGTGTTCTTGATTCCTATGGACGAAACCCTTCTCAAACTACGGATATCCTTAGCTCTTGATAAGCACGTCAACTGTTAAACACACGCAAATTTCGTAGACTAAGGGATCCTGTCCTTCAGGTAATTGGCTAGTAATGGTTGACTACAAAAAAACTCTTCTCAACTATGTTGGAGAGAATGTCCTTCTTAAGGAATGTGAAATTCATCTTTTAAGGACGTCAGTACCTCTGAAATTAATGCTCATACTTAGTATTTTCTTGCATATAGATGCCAAATCAAATCCCATACGTTTCAAGTGGGATATATATTTGTCCATGAAACTTAACTGATCTCTATTTTCAACTAAGGTTTTTCCCTAGATGATTTACCTCATGTTTCAACCACTACCTCTTTCATAGTCGTAATACATCTATGTTAAATTATTATATACCCCATTTCTTCCACTGCCTGATTTAGTTTTCGCTTTGTTTGTTCAATTAGTGTATTAATCCTTTATTATTATGATTAGTATTATCACTACTATTATTATTTCTGCTTAAACAGTTTCCAGTATTATTCTTCTTGTCACCCGTTAATTTCTTTAATTAAATATAATCTTTTTTCGTAAAGTGGCATAATCGAAATTCTCACCATATTATGTGACATCTTAACTGCCTTTCTAAGATTTATGTATTCCTTGGACTGCTATGTAAAAATAAACCTATGTCATCGAATAAAGTCAGAATGAATTAAAACGAATCACTGAAGACTGAGTATGCTGGTGTCAAGAAGAACACTCATGTGGCTATTCAGCCACTAACTCCTAAGCAGACAAAAAACTGATTTTCCAGTATTGGTTTTTAGGGATTTGGTTGATTGGTTACAGGATTTCATCATGAGCTGACATCAGTTAGAGAACCATTGGAAAACCACCTGGGGCTACTGGACAGTTGTTTTGTCTTAGTTTGGGACCCTTCATCAGTACGCAGGGTTCGAACCTTCTGGTTAAAAGGCGAGCTCGTAGACCATTAAGCCACTCGGAACTGATCTAATGCCCAATGGATCCTAACTTCTAACCAATGTCAGACCATGATGAAAATCCTCTAATCAATCAAATCCCTACAAACCAATACTTGAATATCAATTAGTGCTCACTGACGACTCGTCCTATTCAAGTAGGTAGTTACCTGGGGTTCTAGTGGGAAGTCGTGACCAGTAGGGTGAGGATAAATACTCGCCGAAGACATTGCCTGGTGGTTGCGCTATATCGTGAATTGGCAGAATTCATGAGCCATTAGATCGGCTCTCAGTGCCCTAATGGTCTACGAGCTCGCCTTGTAACCAGAAGGTTCTGGGTTCGAACCTTGGTGGTGGATACGTGCTGATGAAAAGTCCCAAACTAGGCAGACGAAACAACCGTCCAGTACTCCCAGGTTTTGCATTATCCCTTCAATGATGATTTGTTTTCTGCTAATTACTTGATATTCAAGCAGTCAAGGCCAAATTTTTATCATGCCTCTACTAAGTTTTACGTGAAAACAGCTTTATTTGCTGTAATAATTCTGTTTTGCTAACTTGATACTCTTCCACTCCGTGCCACACATTGACTGAAAAAAAAATAATAAGTAACTAGTGTCATGCATATGATGCTTTGTTTGGTGCAGACTGATTTCTGTCAGTCATGATGTGCAATATGATACATATTCCAATTTTCAAAGGGAATTTGAGTACCTTCAGGAAGTCGGATACACTTTGCTGAAGGGTGTTGGAAGGCAGGAAGCCTAGGTACAAGGCTTCCCGCCGATTGCCTCTAACCATCTAACTACCATACTATCTTAGACTGTAAACTTGCTTCGATAGTTAATCTGTTAGTTAGTTAGTTAGTCATATTATGGCAAAGTTGAATCACAGTAAACTGATCGATGCTAGTGTGACAGAGATTATGAAATAACCGGAACAGTGAGTCTTCTGACTACCAGTATTACTTATGCAGGGAAATGTTCGCTTGCTAAATGAATTTCATACCCACTATTCTATCAGTACTGATTTATGCAAAACGCTTGCTGGATTTCAGTCAAAAAATAAATATCCGATCTCATTAAATAGAAATATAGTCCTCAGCATATCATACACTAAAGAAATCTGCTATTTCAAATCAATAAGTTAAAAAGAGAAATGAAAATTTGAACAGTATGATGACTTAGATAACAAATCAGTTGAAGTTTATATATAGAGATTGGTTTGATTTTCCCCAGAAGTGTTGAATATTGGTCAGTGGTAACTAGCAGGGGAATCCAGGATGAGCATTTCCTCCTATATGGCACTAGTCGTCTGGATGTACTTGTATTACTCAGTGAGTGATGGTGTTCCCACTCGGACCCGAACCCAGTAGTATCCATCGTTTCAAACAACATCCACCAAATTACTTCAAACATCCTTGAAGCGTCGGTAATAGGAATCGACATGTCAGCAAACATATCCACTCCAATAAAAAAAATCACTTAAACAAACAATCATCAACTCCACACCCAACCTACACTCTTTTTCCAGGCTAAGGACAAGAAATTTCTGTGAAAAATCATCAATAACCGATCATTTGAGTGTGAATGAGTTTAGCGTGTCAAAATGGTTTTTACACCGTTAGATGCTGACTAACTTTTGTTTCCAGTGAATCTATCTATACCATTTTTACAGACACATTAACACAACACACATGTACACATCCAACATTCACAATTGTAACTGCACAACTGTAATGACATTATATTACATTTCTTGTCATTATACCGTTTTACTTAATTTTCTTAGTTTGTAGCAGAAATCTTTTAATTTTTTGTTACATATAATTACTCGCATTCAAAGAAACATGATATTTTAAATGTCTAAAAGGAGAAAGCAATCTTTTTTACAACAATTTTATTACATTATATATGTACTATTGTAATTACTTGTTGTAATTGTACGCTTTCTCTTATAATTTAGCCTGTGAAAGAACGATAGGTAATAAAAATGACTTGTCTGTCTGTAAGTGTTTTTCCTATTTTAGCCCAACACCGAATTACTGTACATGTATAAAGTCTATTGATGACTGGACTGACATAAGTGTAGGTAAGTCTAAACATGGATAGCCTTATATGCTTATTGTTTCTTTCCCTCTCTGGAGTCTGTAGGACGTTATAAGAAAGAAGAATTCATGACAGAAGAGATGTCTACACTGTAAGAATACATAAAATCCGTCAATGTATTGTGTACATCTTGGAAATTATGTTTTGACAGCTATTCAAAATACAATTCAGTAGGCAGAATTAAAAACAGTAAAAATGATGACGAGAATGATAGGAATATTAAAAAAAAATAATCGACACATTTAAAATAACATCACTGAAATTAATAAATGATGTTATATATTACTGATTAGTTGATGTGAGTAGCTGGATAGCCCTGGCATCACAAGAACGAGTTATTGCTAGCTATATCAAAGTGCAATATTATCTTTCTTAATTTCTGTGACATTCAGTTTATTGTGATGTTGACGCTATTGAATTGTAATATATCGATATCACTGACTTGATGTTATTTAAACATTAATGTTGTTCATAACACTAATTCATTCACTATTATGTACATGTAACTGTAGAACCTGATGATGAATTAATCGTAAGGAGTACTCTTTGTTTAGTAACCATTATTTTGAGAATTCACATGTATTTTCCATATGGGTATTATTTTTTCCCGCACATTTCTACTCAGCAAGGTTATTTTGGATTCTTTTAATCCCTCTTTTCCCTACTTTTGTGTGCTATACAGAGTCTGGTGACTTGGACTGGTTCCCCTTTCCGTAAAGTTGACACTCAGTCGGTCATTTATCAGTACATCCGTCTAGTAATAAGTATTGATTTAAACTTGTTATCATTTTTTATACATTGCTGATGAGTTCCAGCTAATATGAAGCCTAGTTAGAAGGATTTCTCTTCAGTCGGGTTTTATAACCTAGGAAAACACTGTGGAAATCAGTCTGTTAATCTTTCTCCTTCAAGCTACTCTGATGTGGTTAGTTTATTTGGGATATCAGACCGGATGGGAAAAAGATAAGTTTTTCTACAATAAAGTGTACTGATAGTCACTAACTTTCAACAGATGGGGATGAAAACTCAAAACTGTAATAAAACTACCACAGTATTCACGAATAAAATTACAAATATTCACCAGAATTTTTCAAATGAAACATATAAAACGAAAATAATGTTTATTGGATTTGTGGAGATTCCAAATTGTTAGAATTCTGATTCCTGACGAAGTCATCCGTTTGTAACTATTGTTTTAAAATATTCAGGAAAGACAAATCCTTTTATAAAATTATATTTGTAAAATCTCAGCGAGATTAAAATGATTAATTCCAACGTTTCGTTCGGCAATCTGGTCCGACCTTCTTCAGGGAAATTAATCGAAATTAACATAACAGAGTTTTATTATATAAAAGGAACATCTCTTGTTTTGGAATTAATCATTTCACTTTCGCTGAGGTTTTACAAATATAATTTTATAAATGTCTACTTCTCACTCGGTGCTCAGTTATTTTGCAACTGTCCGGTCAAATCTGGATCACAACAGTTCATATGAAGAGACAAATCCTGTTGAAGGACATTTACTGTTTATACAATATTCATAACCAGTGGAAATCATTATTTGTCAGCAAATGCCATTATCCTTCAAGTTACAGTTGAATATGTGACTCTTAAATTTATACTAATTGTCGAATACAGTTAAAACACGAATGATAATTAATTTCACTTACTTAGAGATTTAGCCGACATACCAGTTTTATTTAAAACGGTCACCCTCTGAGGAGTTTCTTTAAACTTTGCTTTCGTTTTAGGTGAATTTTCTTTGGTTAATTTTGATTGAACATTAGACAGCGAATTATTTATTTTATTAATTGGATTTTGTTTTATTAAATTATCAGTGTCAGTGTTATTGTTGTTCACGTCCAGACTCTTTTCTGGTAGACGTTCTGCTGCCTGTAATTCCAGTGATCTAGCTGCACGTTGTCCACGATATTCACAATTCCATAGACCAGTATGATCAAGTCTCTCCATATTAATTATATATTGATATTGGAATGTGTTCGCATTGATACGTTTAAATTGACAACCTTCTATAACTTGTGATACACTATGCGGTATTGTACAACCATTTTCATTTAACACACAATTAGGATTACAATCCATATAACAAATGGATGTTGGAAGCTGAAATTTTAAACAAGGCATATAGCAAAATGCAGAGATGATAGAAGATAGACAATAATTAGTAAAGCTGGATACATGCTTTCAACTGCTAGAATACACTGCTGTACATTTGACTATATCAAGATGTGACGTGAAACTCTTGACATTATGGCAGACGAGTTAACTTCTGACACATTCAGCACCCTTTCTTTTCCAATAAATGATTATTTTAAATCTGGAACACATGACATCTAAATAGTATTACAAACACACTGGATCTTTCTCACAGGTAAACCAGTGGTTTATTTCAAGGTGCATAACTCATATTTTGTTCTTCTGTTTCTCTTGTCAGTCAGATATTCTATACTAAGATAAATTTACATGTTCACGTCTGATCCCGGATTGATATCAGGAGGTACTGGATAGCTGTTTCTTCATAGTTTGGGATTTTCTCGCAGTGCACACCTAGGTTCGATCCCTGATGGCGTATTGGGCAAGTTGGTTGTTTCTTCAACTAGAAAACGCGCTATCTGCCAAGATTTTCAATAAGATAGATAAATGTTTTTGTCACAGCTTGATTTCACACTGTATTTTTGGTACAAGTATGGAATTTTCAGCATATGATATCAGTAGCCCAGTTATGCAGGCCGATCATTGATATTGAATGAGCGTCGGCAGGGGATCGAACCCCGGACCATGTGCATGGTCGGCGGGAGTCCTACTCGCTGTACCGTCAACGCACAAATTGTAGAGATTCTTCTTCTTCTAATTAGATTGTTACCAACTTGTGTTTGAGGTGGTAAGCTGTAACATTTCGTTCTCCCGACGAATGGGTTAACGCCTTTCCAAGACGTAAACTACAAAATATGACTGCCCATGCAACATCAGTTGTCAGTGATTCAAACAAACAATTCATCAGTGAAAACCGAATAAACAACAAACAATTGTGGAACATTTAGTGAGAAAATATTCATCACCTTGGACAACTTTCTGTGGAAAGATAGAAAAAAATGTCTACAAGTAATTAGATATATCCAGGTGTGAGTAAAAGTGCTGTGGTCCATTGGTCTAGTCATTAGGTCACAGGCTCAAACTATTCTCCACCTACTGAGAACTGGATAACCTTGTAATATCACCAAAAAGTCCACACAATATAAGTGCCATTCATTTATTATTATTGTTCCCTTGGGTTCCTAGTGGAACATAGGCCTTCAACTGCACTTCTCCACTTGCTTCTGTCTTCCATCTGCTGTACTTTTCACCTGCATCCATGTTAGTCCATACTCTTTCAACTCCTCTTCACACCATCTCTTCCATGTCACCCTTGCACCGATGTCCCACTCGCCGCTTCCCTTTCGGCTTGGTTCCACTCGAGCAATGGCCTGACGCGCGCGCGATGTCACCCAGCGGCCTCCTAAACGAGTGTCCAATCCATCTCCACTCTCTCCTGCATATTTGATGGGCGATCGGTTCTTGTTTTGTTTGTTTCCAGCCATAGTTTCTTGTTGGTGATTCTTTCCGGCCCAACCATCTGATCTTCAGTATAGAGCCAGTGAAGGCAGTTATTGATAAATGTCTGCAATAGCCTGTTGGAAATATTCTTTGTGACCCGACCGCCAAGTTTATCATCCGTAAAGAAGAAATGACTGACTTGACTTTTGTATTGAAAATTCGACTGAATTTTGCTGTTGATGCTGTGTGACGAAGATTTCCAGATGGGTTTTAGGTTGATGAATGTGTTTCTCGCCTTCCCGATTCTTGCTCGATTTGACATCCTCGTCCGTTCTGACTGCATGTAGCTGGGATAATGCTCCCTAGATAAGTGAATGAAGTAACCTCTTTCAAATCCCTCCCGTTGATGGTGATTGGCTCTGGATGTTGCTGTTATTGCTGTTGTTGGTTGGTTATTTTCATAACCTTCATCTTGTCTGTGTTCACCTGGAGTCCTGAAGCTGTTCATTACCAACTGCATAAATATTCAGATATCTGAATTCTTGACTTCTCCTCACATCATGTATGGATTTAATTTCTAACTAAAGTCAAGAATTTTTCATAAATAGCCATTGTTGGTGAGTAGAGAAGGACACAGCTAGTGGTTATCACGATAACAGTAATCACTTTAAAATACTTCCTACTTAAAAGTAGTATGAATGCAAAGGTAAATATCAGTTAGCTTACCTGCGGACATATCAAATATAATGTACTTGTGGGTTTACTTTGTGCTACTGAATCAGAGCTTGCCCTAGTTTGGTTGACAGAAGTCGTATGCAAGACAGATAGGTCATTCTCCTTTGAGTTCACTTCACAAGTGATTAATCCTTTACGATCAGCACGAATACGGTAGAAAATATTCATGTTATTAGATGGACTAGGAGGATTAGCCTCTGAGGTATCACTGTTCATGCGTTTGAAACGTGAGAGAATGTGAGAGTTTACAGTATTCTGATCTATTTGCAACGGTGTTAAACAATAAAACTGTTGAAAATTGAATAGGTGAACAAAGATGACTGTCCAGTATACGGAAAACTTCAGATGAACTGATAAACTTGAGGATTTTAGGAATGTTAACATTTTTTGTGATTTCTGTTTGTGTCAGTTAAATTCCACACGGTTGAAAAACTATGCAAAATAAAAGCAAAGAAGGAGTAAATGATTATATACAAAGTCAATATGAGAATCAAAAATATCCAATTGTTACACCAGATAAATATCTTTACCCATAACTTCTTTTGTGTTTTCGTTATTGAGTCCTTTTTTAGATACGTTTGTTAAATGGTCATGAAGATTCGCGAAGAAGTATTACGCAAACCCTATTATTTAGGCCACATTAAGTGGGACTCCAAAAATACTAAGTAAGAGGAAAGTGTTAAGACGGATGGATCACACATCCAATATCAAAAGAATTTAATGAAAATCATACAGCTGAAATCTAGAATCCGGATATTTTTTAAAGCTATTCGAAAGACTGTGTTAATCTGGGCCAACATATGTAGAACAAGGGGTTTTACCAGTACACTATGGAATCGTGTAGCTCATCCATAGTGTTTCACTTTAAGAATTGACATAACAGGCAAAAATTAATGAGTGTCTGTCATAATGCTCAATTTATGCACGCTTCTTGCTGTAAATGATTGTGTAAGTGATTCGATTTTTGATTACATATTGATATCAGTCACAGAACCATTGAAAACCACGAAATACTGGACAACTGCTCACTGCTAGCTTAAGACTCTCGAGCAGGACACATCGATTACTCACCAAAGATAAAAAATCGGGGACATTCAGGTTACAAGGTGAGATCTCTGATTATTTAGCCACTAGGATGGAATCCAATGACCCATGGATTTTAACTCCTACCAATTTTTGATTTTTACCCCCACCCAGCAGTCAGTATCATGTGTAAGTATTTTACCTCATACCTAACCTGGTGGATCCCACCGGTCACGATTTCCCAATAGAACTCCAGGGAACTTAGTCCCGTAGTTAGCCACTAATGTGCTCTAGGTTAACAGGTTGAAGATAAAAGAGAGGATGGTACGTTAAAAAGGTAGATTTATCGAAGGCCAACATTTACAGGGCAGTCCTCTAACTTCAATAGTTGGGTATCACTAGATAGGAAGAGAAATCTTATCCGTTCTCTAAGCTTTAGGATTCGGAAAATTCGCCCTATAAATATGGTCAACATGGAACTGGAAAATCTTCGCACAACTCTTTTAAATAGTGGATATCCTAGAGGGTTTATTAGCAGAATTATCGAGAAAGAAATCGTCCCAACCAAAACACTGTTTATGAGTATGGCGTTCAAAGGTGACACTGTTACTGAAGTCATGAAAAGTCGTTTACCTAAATGTATGAAACGTTGTTTTTATGCGGCTGACTGACATTTGGTATTAACCAGAGTAAATATGATTCGACAATGCGTTAAGGATAAACTACCACTTATGTCCACCTCTATGTGCATATACTCATTCACATGCTCGTGTGGAGCTGACTACATTCAACGTTATAAGTGTGTTCTCCATAAACGCGTACGTGAACTCCACCCGGTTGATTTAATGAAGTGAGGACGATGAAGTCTTCAGTCTGTGAACACATTCTGGAGTCAGGTCATTCAACCCCACGTGATTTATCCTTCAAAGTTATCTATAGCACCAAATCCAACCACTCCAAAAGCTTACATTTTCTCCTTTCATTCATAGCCAGCCGGAGTTCTAGCTATACATGGACAGAAACGTAAGCTATGTGTTCAAAAACGTTTTGTTAAACTCCCTTCTTTACTTTGGTCATGACTGTGTTCTTTTATTTTATAATATTTTGCCTTGTTGAATTCATTCCACTTCATTTCTTCTTCGCCATCTTTACTGTTATTATCATCGCACTTCTAATTTTTTAGACGACATCTCACCTACAATTTTAAAATCTCCACAACAGTTTGTTTATTTAATAATCTTTAAAAATTTTATAATTCATCCACTTGAACTCTGCCTCGTTAGTACACCATTTTAATTGTCTTTATTCTTATCATATGCTCAATATTGACTGAGCAAATTCTAGTGTCACTTAATGCTTTTTTCCGTAATATGAATACGACTGTACAGCTTGAAAATGGAGTCGTTGAGGAAAAGAGATATTTCTTAGCTAAATAAAAAAAACTGTGTCTTTCTTTTTTGGACTAACGCGATCAGATTAATTTTGCAGGTTTTTATTTTTAGGAGGTTTGAAAAATTCGTTCTAAATTGTCTACTTTGTAAAGTAACTTTTCAACGTTGCCATGGTATTTTACCAAAATGAAGGGAAAACTGAAACACTGTTGGATCAATGTAATTTCCTACAGAAGATAACGCATACCTGAAACAGCATTGCTAGCCGCGAATAAAAAAGGATCAATAGACATTGGTAAAGACGGATCAAATCGTCACTTTACGAATCACCATTGAACAAATCTTAGAATGGCAGTCACCTCTCCACCTCACTCAACTTCATCGACTTTGAAAAGGCCTTCGACAACGTCGATCGAGAGGTGATTTGGCAACTACTTCGCTACTACGGGGTCCCATCGACAATTGTACATTTCATCCAACAGTTATACGACAATGCTGCATGCCAAGTAATCTACAACGGGAAACTTACGGAATCCTTTGAAGTGAAGACGGGAGTGAGGCAAGGCTACCTACTATCGCCAGTAATCTTCCTGATTGCAGTAGACTGGATAATGCGAGAGACAGCGAGCCGGGCAATGAGGAAACAGGCATAAAATGGACTGACACAGAAAACTTGGAGAATCTGGACTTCGCCGGTGATATATGTCTGATTTCCCACAAACTGGAAGATATGCAAGTGAAAAGCAACAAGTTGGCAGAAGAAGCATCCAGTGAAGTTAGGACTTCAGGTGAACATAGCGAAAACAGAGGTGATGAAGATTCCTGGCCAACACCAACAGCCACAGCGAAAACGACAGACAACAATCAGCCAGCATAATTGCGAGGAACCTGAAAAAACAACCTCCTTTACCTACCTGCCAACCTGGGAAGCATCGTTTCGACTACAGGCGGACGGAACTGACGAGGATATCAAAGCAAGAATCGGAAAATCAAGACTGGCTTTCATTACTCTTAAGTCTGTGTGGGGGTAAACAGTTCTCAGCATCAAAAATAAGGTCCGGATTTTCAACTCCAATGTGAAGTCAGTGCTTCTATTCGGATCAGAGACTTGGCGCGTCATAAAGAGCATCTTAAACAAACTACAGACCTTCATCAAAAGTTGTCTTCGCTCAATACTCAAGGTCAGATGTCCTGGCAGAAAAGATCAGCAACAAAGATCTCTGGGAGCGAACCAAGCAGGAACCGATTGTGAAACAAATAGGCAGGAAGAAATGGAGATGGATTGGCCACACTCTGAGGAAACCATCAAGCGGCATCACTAGACAAGCCATTGCTCGAGTGGAACCTGAAAGGGAAGCAGCGAGTTGGTCGTCGGTGCAAGGGTGACTTGGAGGAGGTCATGTGGGGAGGAGATGAAAGCATGTAGGCAGACTTGGAGCGGGGTGAAAAGGTTGGCAGAAAACAGAAGGCAATTGAGACGCGCAGCTGAAGCCCTATGTTCCTCTAGGAACTAAAGGATATAATAATAATATTATTATTTCCCATTTAGACAATGAGTAATCTAAATGATTTATTGTGTTATAGATTATCTTCCAGCTTTCACACTAGCATAACTATATGGGAATATATGGGCGTTCTTCAATTATTGTAGCGAAACAACGCATATAATTGCAGTGATAGTAAAAAATAGACAAGAGACCAACTTTCACGACTTCCCGCTGATCAGCTAACCTTGACTAACTAACTAACTAACTGTATTCTAATCTTTCTTAAATGATTTCTCTGCAAACAGTCAATCAAAATTATCGTGTTATACGATCAATTAAAAAACAATACACAGACAAAACAGATAATTTCTTATCATTATTACAATTAATATGATCTTAATTAATGTCAATTGTGTATCCGTGCAAAATATCACGTCAATTAACTGCATTCATATACAGAATAGAAATATAGGCCCCGTGAAAGCACAAATCTGTTTCTCTATCTATCTTTCAGACTATATTTCAAATGGCTTCATAAAGCCACCTTGGTAGTTATAATGAATGTATTTCACATTGTAAAAAAATATAAAAGGCATTCAATATATATAGGCAAATTAATCGGGTATAATAAGGACTGACGATATTTATTCGCTCTATAAAAAGTAAGATTTAATTAATGATTGGAATTTTTGCACTATAAGTAATAAAAATGTTTTTTAGTCGAAAAACAGCATATAGCAGTTGACTTTTACATTATGCTAGTCAAGTAGTTGTGCTTTTTGCCTTTATTAAACTACTTGTTTATGCTCAGATAGGTTTGTGTTTTAGTATAAAAAGGCTCGCTGTCTTTGACTACAATTGTCTGCCTTCTATCCCACTTGTTAAGTGGTAGTAATGAGGTTATGCCTACAGTATTAGGTAAAAAATGGAAGTCAACCCATGAGGTTATGAAGCTGTCTTTTTTGAGATGGTTAGAACTTGCGTTACGGATACCGAGTAGTCTCCTTCCTCGACAAGCAATATTAGATGATACAGGATCGGGTTAGAAAGGGGTAGGTGTGGTCAAATCAAAACCTGAAATCAATCCATGGAGTTTTTGGCTGCTGATACAACCTATCCTCCTTGCACCGATGTATTCATACTTTTTGTAATCGATTAGATCCGTCAAATTCATATTTTTCCTATTTTGCTATTTTTTTTCCTGTACATTTCTGCTGGTCTTAGGTTTTTCTATACGGTAAAAATCCAGGCACAAAAACTGATGCTTTGATTTGATTTCGAATTCAAGACGTGCATAGGATTATTCTTGAAATGTATTTGTCTCTAATTGAGCAACGGGAAGGGCGACTTAGGCGTCTGTAAGAACTGGCGTGGAATAATGTTCTCGTCCACGTCAAGTAAAATATTCAGTCACATCATCCTGGGGAGAATAAAGGATCCAGTGGATACAGAACTCCATCCACACACCACAACAAGCTGTTTTCAGGAAAGGCAGATCATATTCTGATCAAATAACAACTCTACGCGTCAT